ATGTTATGTTTCTACGTACTCATATCAGTCTGTGAACTTTACTTCTGAGAGCACAAATACTTGTAGATACCGTTCGTAGATAGATACTAGTTAGAACTGTTTGGCAATTATTCTAGAATAACGTTGAGACGAGCAATAATCCGTTAAGCTAATGATATAGTCTGTACCCCACTTTGTTAGATTTCTATGCCGTCATCAGGTGATAGAATCAAAAATATAAAAGTTCCCGCGAAGTATTAAAATCGCTCGACTATAGGACAAACATTAAAAATGTTGTAATGAAATAAAATGAAGCGTAACCATTGTAAATTAAAATTTATAACACCGTATGTATACACTTAATGTATATATGTACATTATTTAACATAAAATGTCGAGCAATTTTTTTATTTTACCATATCAGTTTTTCTAATAATAATTATGTGAATTATTTTATAATAAAATGAATATTTGTAATCAGTATAATTAATAATCAAACTATGACTTCACAATCGAACGGTATAATTTTCTACATTTTTATATATTTAAATACTTATGATATTTGATTATGTATATTTAAACACTTATATATTATGGCATAATTATATTATTGTTAAAAATTCCAATTTGTAGGTTAAAGATTTATAGAGATTTAATTTGGCGCGCTTTTATACAGGCAGACATTCTTGAAAGCGCCATCTTTCAATGTTGTAGCTAAATTATTTTTTTTCAAACAGTTAACATCTCGTCTCGAACAAATTAAATGAAAAGTTAATAGAAATCAACAATTTTTGGTAACTAAGAAGTAAGTATTTATATTCTTATAATTAATGAAATATTGTTAATGAAAATTTATATGAAAAAAACAAGAATGAGTGCCTGTAATGCCATGTTCGTCTTCTTTGAAACGATTTTTTATATAAATTATCAAAACTGTTTAAAAATAATAATTAATAAAATATTATTCTTTTAAAAATAGTAATTAATAAAATATATAATATTATTCTTTATATTCCATACATTTTCATCTTTGTTTTAGTTTTTTTTATTTATCTCTCAATCAAATGTGAAGAAAATAATAAAGATAAGAAATACGCAAATTTTTAATTAGACATATTTCTAACAATAAACTTAAGAGACGATATATGACTTTCAAGTTAAAAAATAATGCAATACATGAAGATGATATGACATGTAAAATTGTATATATTACAAAACAATTTATTTCCGCGCGCTTTATTAGAATTGAATTGAACGTAAAAGCGCCACCTGCCAACAGTAATTAGTTAGTGTCGGTTAAAATTTTGAATAGTGCGCGAATAGTATGTAATTGCTTTATTTCGAAGAAAAACTTATATTATTTTCGCAAGTAAAACAAATTCTTTTGTGATAGTTTCTGAAAATTGTGTGCTTTACTGCAGTCTGTCGAATACATGGATATCGGACGCTTGTACGAGAAGGAAATGAAAAATTCGAGTTGCCAGTCAAGGTAGGAGTTTTACGTGTTAAAATTTACATCATTCTACGAAGTTTATTCAGAACAAAGATATTATTTTAAAATTGAGATTTTTATTTAAAATTTCTACAAAGTTTAAATCATTTATATTAGATTTAAAAGATGACTTGAATAATGAATTGAATTTAAAGGAATGAAAGATAAAAACGTTTAAAATAGTTTAGAAGTCCATTGCATTGAGGTGTTAACGGAAATTTAAATAATTCTAGTGTATAAATCTTTAATTAAAAATTTTACTACATCTATTCAACTTTTATTTATTCTACTTTTTGGAAAAGCATATCAAACGCAAATTTTTCTATTAAAATTTATAAAATTTATTTTTTTATTAAAATTTATAAATAATTATTTGCGACTATAATATGCACGTTAAATAGAAGCTTTTAAAATGAAGTTTGATTTTAAGCAAAAAATGTTTAATAATGTCTAATTTAAATTTATATATTTATTTCTTATAAAAGTTAAAAATTTTCTTATAAAAATTTCTTATAAAAATTAAAATTTTTAATTTTAATGATTAAGTAGAATGATATATGCATTTAATATACAAATAAAATTATACTAAAGTGTATACTTACGCTTCCACATGTAGCATATTGTAGCATTTGCAAGTGGGTATTGAGTTGTTCTATACGTACATAAATACATAAATTTCGGTTTAAAAACTAGGGGAAATTAATTTACAAATTAACCTAATATTTTGTTTGTGATACACGAATAAGAACAAAGAAGAAGATTAGTTTGTTTTAACCAGTTCCAGGAAAATATTTTTCATATATACATTTTAACTGCCAAATCTAGAGTACAGTTTTCTAACCTCTTTCATCGTTTTGTTTATTGGTTAAGTATATAATCATTAAGGATTAATTCTTTTTTTTTTTGCTTATACAACAATATACAAATATGTTTGTACAAACAATATTTACAAACCTGAGAAAAAAATACATGTAGTTGTTTCTAACACAATGATAACAAGTTGCAAGTGAAAATATT